TTTTTAAAATAAAGTTATTTAATAAAAAACTAAATATATTATTTTGAGAATATTAAATATTTTAAGAGTTAATATAATTTATTATAATATAGTTTTATAGTTTAATCTAATGATTTTTTTTTTCTAAGGACATGGTCTAATTAATATTTAAAGAAAATCTTAAGTTCCACATCGATTAGAGATAAAATAATTAATAAATATATAAGTGAAGAAAATTCTCACTTTACAAGTTAATTTTGCAGAATTGTGTTAGACCTATAACTCACATTCTAAGAGTTCAAGAGGTTATGAATCATATGAAGGTGTAGAAGCATATTCATGATGCTTCAAAAAATTGTAAATTTGAAATTTAGCAAAAAAATATTTCCAAATTTTAAATTTCCAAGAAAGTTACCTACAAATAATAAATTTATATGAAACTTTTTGTAATAATTTCTTTAATTTTTTTTGTAACAAATCTTCTTGCAAAATTTCTTACAAAAATATCAATGACAATTTGCAATATATAATTTCTTGTGAATTTTAAAATTTGTAAACACATTATCTACAAAAATACTACTTGAAGATAAAATTTTGCAAAAAAATTCATATGAACCATGTTTCCTATGAATTTTTATGCAAAATTTACACGAAAAATCAAATATAATAAGAAAAATTCTAATAGTAATATTTTAACTTCTTTAATATTAAAATATTCATTTAATTTAGTATTTTACAAATATTTTGCATACGATCACATAAATGGGAAAGAGGGACTAAGGAATGAGAAGTGGAGGAAGGATAAATTACTTAAATACTCATAAATTGAATTAATTTTAAAATAATAAGATGGTTCTTTTGACCAATTAAAAAGTTCACGTTGCTAATGTAACAATGTTAGTTGTTAATTCTTTCAAAAATAAACGTCAACTGTTAATATTACATAGATGTTGACGGGGTAATTAATAAATGTTGCACTGCCATAAAATTAGGAGCGACGTGTAATATGTAAAAGTACAAAATTATTAAATGTGTAAGTTTTGAAAATATGATAGCAAAATGAGCAATATATATTTTGGAAATAGATATGGAGACAAAATGCGAGAAAAATTATAAATGGTGAAAGTGATAAAAAGATAATACTGATATTTGTTGTCATTGATTTTTTTTTTTTCATAACAAACAAAAGGTAATTTTATTAAGAAAAGACAAATACAACACAAGAATTGCAGAATTTGTACATCCAAAATATATAGTTTGGTTACAAAAAGACATAAGTTACACATTTCTCATGTCAATGGAAACACATTCCCCATTCCTTTCAATATTAAATTAACCTTATGCCCAGATGAGAGCTCAACGAGTTGAAGGATTGCTTTTATCGCTGTGACATCCCAGTTTCACCTTCCTAAGAGCAAAGTGTCATCTGCAAACTATAAATGTGTGATATTCACATCACTGCCTTCCATTGCATATCCATTAAACAACCTATTCACTTTTGCTTCCTGCACCATCATATATACTTAACCCCTCTACTAGAAATAAACACTAGTAGAAAAAGGGTAATTTACGTCACTGTATTCTCGTCGGACAAAGAAAAATCCGACATTAAAAAAACGCGGTGACATTTTTGTAATCAAGTCTAACTTTTTTACATCAGCTCCTACGAGGTCCGACGTAAAATATCTACAAATTTCAAACTGTATTCGCGCGCGCCAATATTTAAACAAGAGAGCTTTGAGTGTAAGTGTCATTCAGGTTTTCTGAGTTAAGATTTCGTTTGAGTGTATTGCATCTGAGTGTATGTTTGCGCGTTTGGGTAATTCTTGAGTTTTTGACCGATTACATTGGGCTCGCGTTTGAGGTTAGTTTGGAAAATCCTTTCTTAATATATTAGCTTATATGTTGAAAATAAATGTATGTATTTATCTATTAATATACTAGTTAATATTATCATCTTCTTCGCGTTTGGCTGAATCATCGTTTGTTAATACAGGTAGAAAATGCTTTGTGCGTGGGTGGATCTGCAAGCAGAGTGGGTGGATCTGCAGCAGAACGGGCCATTTTCCAACAACCATTTTGCGACCGAAATTTTCGGTCGCTAAATAGCGATCGAAAATTTTTTGGTCGCTATATAGCTTTGCGACTAAGGTTTTTGCGACTACTTAAATTCGGTCGCCAATTCGGTCGCTAAGGCAAATAGCGACCGATTTTAGCAATTTAGCGACCGATTTTGGTAGTCGTTAAATCCAAATTTTTTTGTAGTATATAATAATATAATATTTATCAATAAAAATTACTTTTATCTACATTATGAATATGATATATATTGGTATACTATTAAAAAATGTCGTTATAAGTTATATTGATATATATTGGTAAATCTCATTCAAAATTAATATTAAATTGTATTCAATTATATGTCAAATAAATTTGTATTTACATATATATTTTGTATTTATAGTGATATTTTGATATGCCATTATATGTAACATTTCTTGTAATGTAAGACCAAACAAGACAAATTTAGAAAAATCTCCCTTTTTCTCTATTTTCAACCAAACAAAATTTTTAATTATTTTTGTTTCATATTTTTCCTTTAAGTCAAATAGACCTTAAAAGTGAAAATTGTCAAAAGTTAATAACTATAAAAAAAAATGTAATCAATTTTTTTTTTATAAACTTAAAAATATTTATGTATCAAAAAAACAACCCCCAAATACATTTCTCCATTATAAATTCTTCCTAACCCTGATTATTGTTAGTTATATAACCTAACAGATATATATGACTAAATATCCGAGAAAACAACACTTAACCGAATCTGGGTAGATATATATGTTGGAAAATTCTTCATCCTCCGAACGCAACCTCTGAAATATATTCCAAATGTATAAAAAAGAATAATTTAAATTATAAAATATTAAATTAAATAATTATTTTATAATAAATTTATTAAAAAATATAAATTTTTTTTAAATTTTGGGCGATGATTCGTTTCATTTTTCAGAACGTGTAGCAATTCTCATATATGTTTGACTATGTTGGAGTGAGTGCCATGGGCCCTACATGCTAAATATCCGGAAAAAAAATGTGAGGCTGAAGATACGCGAGTGCGCAAATTTTTCTGCAACAAATTTATTCTCTATATTTGTTTGTCCAAACACTCCTTCCTTATTTTTAAAATTAAAAATTCTTTAACCTACCTTACCTTATGGTAATATTTTTAACTATGACATTCATAAATATTTATGAAATCTGAAATACTACACCGTCCTTGCGGAAAGCCGAACTTTTTGAACGACAGAGGGAGCTGAGACGATCGCAATCGACCTAAATAGTTTTGAATGTTAGAGCAGTTTCAGTTGATTATATTGTGCTACATCAACTATTTTTATTATTTGAGTACTAAAATGTGTTGTTTAAATTTTAACAAAATTGTTTATATAAGTTTAGTTGTTTAAGAAAAAGAGAAAAAAAGAGGTGAAGTAATACAGTGGGCTGCATGCAGATGGTCTTAATTATCTAAGTTGAAAAGGAATTTTTTTAAGGTTTCTTTAAATAGATTTTATCTGAATTAGAGAGTAAAATCCCTCTCAAGCTAATTAAGAAACTTGATTATTTATTAATTGTGGTGGACTTGTTATACACATATAATTTAAGCCCACCTAATACCTACATGACAGCGTTTTGTCACGTGGCAATTCAGCCTCCACATTATGCAAGTTGCCTTTAGCATCATTTGTAGATTGTGAACCACCCTATATTCGACCCCACTCTCTTTAATTCCCCGGGCATGGATATGACAGGAATACTTAAATTAACCATTTACGATCGAAAATTGAAAACTAAGCGAAAGGAAAGAAATATCAGGCCCTTAGAGAAAAGGAAAGATTATGGGAATCGTGGAAGAGGCTCATAACGTGAGAATAGTTGGAAAAGGAAACGAAATTGTGATTCTGGCTCATGGGTTTGGCACAGACCAATCGGTGTGGAAGCACCTGGTGCCGCATCTGGTCGATGATTACCGTGTGATTCTGTACGACAACATGGGCGCTGGTACAACAAACCCTGAATACTTCGACTTCGAACGATACTACACAATCGATGGTTTTGTCTATGACCTTCTCGCCATTTTGCAAGAGCTTCAAGTGCAATCTTGCATCTTCGTTGGTCACTCTCTTTCCGCTATGGTCGGCCTCCTCGCTTCAATCTCCCACCCTCATCTCTTCACTAAGCTCATCCTCGTCTCTGCCTCTCCAAGGTATAAATCTTTCATTCACTTGTTTATATAACTTACTCTTCATATGCTTTTCTTATTATAAGCTTTTAATTTTCTAAAACGGAAAACTAAAAGTTGAGACCCTCGACTCAAGAGTTCTGCTATGCATGATTATCACTTCAGTTCATGAATTTCAAAACGTTAAAAATAAATAAATAAATAAAAAGGAAGAGAAAGAGAAAATTAAATTTCTTAATAACAATATCAAAGTTATTAATTTTTTTTAAAAAAAAATCCATAAAAATTCTGAAAAAAATTTGAGATGATAGTAAACAGAAAATTTCCTATAACTATACAGATTAAGCATACAGTCAAAGTTAAGGTTTATATATATATATGGAAAAATACTTATTATGGAATAGATTTTTGTAGTTTTCATAAGGAACAAAAGAAAAAAATTTCACATTTCATGTTGCGGAAACTATGTGTTGAAAAAGACAGGTGATATATATGGTAGGAGAAGAAGTGAAGTTTGGTATTTTTGTATAGGTTTCTGAATGATTCGGAATATTTTGGAGGGTTCCAGCAAGAAGATCTGAGGGAACTATACGAGGGAATTCGATCGAACTACAAAGCGTGGTGTTCGGGGTTCGCTCCGCTGGTGATAGGTGGCGACATGGAGTCGGTGGCGGTGCAGGAGTTCAGCAGAACCCTATTCAACATGAGGCCCGACATAGCCCTGAGCCTGGCCCAGACCATATTCCAGTTCGACCTGAGGCCCATTCTGGGCCACGTGACGGTGCCGTGCCACATCATTCAGAGCACTAAGGACTTGGCCGCACCCGTTGTTGTGGCCGAATATCTGCAACAGAACCTCGGCGGCAAGACCATCGTCGAGGTCATGCCCACCGAGGGTCACTTGCCGCAGTTGAGCTCGCCGGACGTCGTCGTTCCGGTGCTGCTCAACCACATCCACCACGATTTGGCGGAGGTAAAATAGAACACTCTCTCTTTTGGGACGTCAAAATAGTGGAAATCAATTTTACCACTTTTAAGTGAATCACCCTAAAAAAGCCCTAAATAACACGTTATACCTTTCGTCTCGCCCTTACGGTGTCGTTTCCTTCTTTTTTTTTTTTTTTTAACTTTTTATTGCCAAAACAGCCCTACATAGTACTGTGTAATAAGATCTAAATTATTACCATGGATGCATGGAAAGGAAATCTAAGACAGTAAATCTAGAAAGAAAAAAAATATCTGTTGTCTACATTTTGCTACAAGGATACAGGAGATTGTTTATCTATAAAAACAAATTATTTTATTATAGTCGGAGACACTAATATAGGAGTTTTAAAATAGAAGTATCCAACAATTATTATTTTTCTTAAAAAATTAATCGATAAGGAGTTAAAAATAAATAATATAAAAATTTAAATAAAAGATATTTAAAAAGTTGATATATTAATTGATTGTATTTATTTTATTGATACACATTAAAATATCAAAATGATACAATTTTTAAAGATGCGATAATAATTTCAGATAGATAATTGTGATTTTTTTTTGTAAATATGTGAACTACGTGAATGTTTATGCATATAAAATAAATATTCTAAGAGGAGATATTTATTGGAGATATTTATTTTAGGGAATTTTATATTTTGAAGAGATTATATCATTGACGAGAATATCTTTCACTTTTGTTGAAAACTAACTTTTTTAAGACTTTGATTGTATTAAGATTCTCTTTCAATATTATCTTTCAAAACTTGAACTCAAAAACTTTGAAATTTGAGGACCAACTATAATCTTAGTTAAACCAATAAACTATGTAACAAGATTCTAAATTTGAACTTTGTTATTGTCACCATAATTTTTATTACTAAAAAATTATATTGATATATGCGTAAGGTTTTGTGAGATTATATATATATATATATATATATATATATGAGTAGATATCAACTTATAACAAGAATAAGTTTAGACTTATTTCACCCAATAATTCATATTTTATATCAAATTTTTTAACCATTAAATTTAAAATTTTAAATGCATAGATTAAGTTTGTAAATTTTTTAAAAATTTAAAAACTGTATATGGAGAGAAATATATACATTTTAAAAGATACTAAAATATGAATACTTTAATTACCTTCAAATTGTTGTTCAATTTTAACAAAATTTGGTATAAACATATAAAGTGAATATATATATATATATATATATATATATAGTCAAAATTTATCGAACAAGGAGAAAAAGAAAAGCTCAATTTCCATTTACCTCAATATTTCCCTCAGTGGCTAGCTTCTTGCTTTATACAAAGAATAGTCAGACTAATTTTTGGCCTCACATAGTTTAAGGATATGACCCCATCGTTTGATAGCTACTTTAAAGAATCATTTTGTACATCTATTTCTATATTTGACGTTATAAAGTTTATTCCCTCCTGCTTTTGCCACTTGACAATCATTTTTGTTTTCCCGTATGACAAACATGTAATGTATGGATAAGAGGATACAATTTCTTCATAAATAACATCTACTAAGAAATTTTCTTAGCTAATCAACATCGATTTCTTAGAAATTAATTGAGCAAAAGCTTGACCCCCATTGTAGATTAGATTATACTCTATACAGGTCTATTTGAACGTCTTCCAGGAAACAACACCTACATTGTGGATAAAAATAAATTAGCCTCCTGTGAATTTATTTATAAGAGTAAAATTCAATTTTAACATTACTGTATCATTTTAATATAATGTGAGAAATTTACTATATTCAAAACTACGATTCATGGGAGCTAACATTTCATGAGTCTGAAATTCATTAATTATAATATACACTCCCAATAATTTGAGTATGGTCATGATCCTATTAGATAACAAGTTGCCTCAGTTTTTCTTAAATTTGAGTGTTAGCATTATAAAGGATTCTTGTTTCTGTACCTGACCTTTAGCCGCGAGTTTGTATTGTATCAAAATTGTGTAATTTGTTTTTTTGGTCTATTTATAAGGGACATGCCTTAAACATTTTGGTCCTATGGCGGATCTTGTAAAAGTGTAGCCGGTTGAGTTTTATATGAGCCGCCATTATTATTATTTGTTATTGCTTGATCATTATCTTTTAAGTCTTTCTTATACTCAATAATATAATTTATGAGAGAAATTTACTTATTTTAAAAGTAAATTTTGATATGTTTATTTTAAAAATAAGTCTTGATATATTTATTTTACGTAATAATTAATATTTTATATTAAATTTTAATAATTTTAAATTAAAAATTCTTAATGTACATATAAGTTTCTAAAATTTTAAATTATTTAAAAAATTTATGATATTTTGTTATATATTCAAATAAACATATAAAATAATTTTATAATTTTTTGTCAATTTAAATTAATGAAATAAAATATTAAATGATTTTTATTTTCTTTAAAAAAAATTTGTAAACTTAATTTATATACTAAGAACTTGTAATTTAATAGTTATATTGTTAAAATTTAATATAAAACATGAATTATTGAGTAAAATAAATTTACCAAGACAAACTCTTAAATTAATTGATTTTGATATTGGTATGAAATATTTATCATCGAAAACAATGACTAATTCTTACTAAGATTGTAAACACATACAATATAGATATTCTCCTTCCAACATAATTTATTTCATACTTAATTAATATTTAAACATTAGATAATTGGATAATTAAAAGATAATATCAGTATTTATTGAAGTATTTAAAGATGATTTGATACATCAAATGCTTGAATTTACCCATCAATTGAATTTTTTTCTTGACTACTCACCCCAGGTCAATCAATCAAATAGTTAGAAATTGTTGTGTCCAAATTGATGGTGTTATGTTCTTGGCTTATATACCATTCTCCTTGTTGACTAGGAACTAGCAATATATGATTTACAGAGACATTACATTATACTCGCAATTAACAATATAATGTGCATTTTTCTTGAAAATGGTATAATAAAGACAATAAATTTATACCCAAATAGTCACTAACCGTCTTTATGTGTTCTTTGAACATCATAGAAAACCCCGTGAGTGTGACTATGGTGCATGGCTAGCTGTGTGTCACCATCTACTTCCCCACATTATCCAGAATCTTTTGAGTCTTGTTACACTATTACAGTGGAAAATGTTGGAGTGGGAGCAGGATAGGTAACACTAGGTACAGCTAGGGATGGCAACGGGGCGGGGCGGGTACGGGTTTCATGATACCCGTCCCCGCGAGTCAAACTTATCCCGTCCCCGTACCCGTACCTGTCGGGTATGTAATTTTCATCCCCGTCCCCTCCCCGTCGAGTATTGAGTATACATGTACCCGTATCCGTACCCGTCAATTTATTTATTTTTATTTTTTGTAAAAAAATATGATATTTTTAAATTATTTTTTTATTATATTATAATTATAATTAGGTTATTTTTTTATCTCATATTATAATATATAATTATACATAAAAAAATATTAAAATTCTTTAATATAATTAAATTGAAAGTGGGTATTAAATTAAAAATGGGAACGGGGACCGGGACGAGGACGGATACGGGTACGAGACGGGTAAGTACATACCCGTACCCGTACCCGATTTAATATATCGGATTTTACCCGTACCCGTACCCGTACCCGGTCAAACCGGATATTCCTCGTCAAAGTCGGGACAGGTTCGGGTATTACCCCCGGGTACGGGTATATTTGTCATCCCTAGGTTCAGCCCTCAAAATTAAAAGCACGAGATAGAGTAGTTAATTAGTTACAACAATATATTGTTGAATTCTAACAAAGGATACGAGTTCAACACAATATAGAAAAGGAAAACCTGTTGCCCCTGGAAAAAAAATTTGCGTATCCTCCGAACCATTCAAAGTTGACACATACTACCATAAAAGTGTTGTTTTTTCTTATAAAAAAATATCTACAGATTTTTTTTTCTCGATTTCTTGCAATAATAACTTAACAGAATTTATTTGCAATAATTTCTTACAAATTCTTTTATGAAAAATAATCTATAATAAATTTTTACAAATTTTACTACGGTTGTAGTGATCATAGGATTTTTTTTCATGATAAAAATTTGTAAAAGATGTTATAAGAACTTTTTTGTTTCTTGTGAAAATAAATTATAAATGGTAGGAAAATTTTGTAGATAATTTTTCATGTGAATTTTTCTGTCAATTTTAATCTACAAGAAAAATAAAAAAAATTTTAAATTTATAAGTTTGCAAAATTAAAAGTTTTTTAATTTAAAATATTATTATAATAAATTATTTATAAATATATCAATATAATTAATTTTAATTTTAAATTTAATTAAATTAACGTATAAAATTTTAATGATAGTGAATTTTAATTTAATGATAATTTATAAAATTTAAAAATTAAAAGTGTTTACTTAAAAAAATATTATTTTATTAAATTATTTATAAATATTTTATTAAAATTGATTTTAATTAAAAATATTAGTAAATCAAACATTTATTTTAATTAAATATGTAAATTAATGATAATGAGTTTTAATTTAATGATAATTTTTAAAATAAAGTTATTTAATAAAAAACTAAATATATTATTTTGAGAATATTAAATATTTTAAGAGTTAATATAATTTATTATAATATAGTTTTATAGTTTAATCTAATGATTTTTTTTTTCTAAGGACATGGTCTAATTAATATTTAAAGAAAATCTTAAGTTCCACATCGATTAGAGATAAAATAATTAATAAATATATAAGTGAAGAAAATTCTCACTTTACAAGTTAATTTTGCAGAATTGTGTTAGACCTATAACTCACATTCTAAGAGTTCAAGAGGTTATGAATCATATGAAGGTGTAGAAGCATATTCATGATGCTTCAAAAAATTGTAAATTTGAAATTTAGCAAAAAAATATTTCCAAATTTTAAATTTCCAAGAAAGTTACCTACAAATAATAAATTTATATGAAACTTTTTGTAATAATTTCTTTAATTTTTTTTGTAACAAATCTTCTTGCAAAATTTCTTACAAAAATATCAATGACAATTTGCAATATATAATTTCTTGTGAATTTTAAAATTTGTAAACACATTATCTACAAAAATACTACTTGAAGATAAAATTTTGCAAAAAAATTCATATGAACCATGTTTCCTATGAATTTTTATGCAAAATTTACACGAAAAATCAAATATAATAAGAAAAATTCTAATAGTAATATTTTAACTTCTTTAATATTAAAATATTCATTTAATTTAGTATTTTA